AGAATTAAAAGTTTATCCATTTTAAAAACTCAGCTTTTTCAATCATTTAGACCTAACTCTACAAAACCATCTTATTAAAGTTATTATTTTATTTCCAATTAATAAGTCTATTTTTAAAACCTACTAGTGTAAAATCAGTACACACACAAAAAAAATTTTAACTCAAATTTTTTAAGTGATTTGATAAGTTAGTTCTTTATCACATTCCCTTTAATGCTTTAATCTATTTGTGAAAACTTTCTATTTTCTGCTTAAGAGAAGGTCAACGGCTTTCACTTCACGACTCTAACATAATCATGAATTGAAATAAGAACTCTTAGCTCTTTGGACTGACAAAGCTACCAGTATGCCTAAGCCAATAAAGCGATTCGTTCATTAACGCTGCTAATAAAGCAACCTTTTGTTAGTCTATGAAACATCAGAAACCTCAGAGACTCTAACTTTGCAATTTTCCCATTTTTGTCATAGGAATTTAAAAGTTCTCTTATGTGCCATCTACTTTAACAAGTAAAACATAATCATTCTAAAAATTTGTCCTTCCACTCTAGGTAATTTAATAGCTTAACACATTAGTTCCAACTTCAGAAAACTGTTCCTAGATGAAACTATTTATATTTTATTTAATTATTCCCTTTTGTTTGTCCATAGAGCCAATCTGTCTGGAAATTTCTGCCAACTTCAAATAAACAACTAAAGGAATAATCCTTACAATATTCTCAAAATGAAAAACAAAAATGTTCACTTACCCAATCAGCATTAATTGATCAACTATAGTAAGCAAGGCATGGAAGATACTATGAAGATTAATACACAGTCCTTGCCCTCAAGCAACTCAATTTAAGAAAAAAGATGGGCATTTTTTAAAAATGACTGTAAGGCAGTTTTTAATAGTGTTTAATAAATATAGTAGCATGATACAATTAATTGAACTGAGACAAGATAAAAAAATCTTCAATGAGGAGATGTTTTTAAGCTAAATAAATGAAAGTATATTTTAGGCTTAGAGAATAGCTTATATATAAAACAAGATAGATAAAACATGGTAAATTCAAAATTTTTAATTAATTTAGTAAAGCTGGAATGTATTGTGCATATAAGAAATTAGTAGAGAATGTCTGTTAGTGCTTAAAGAGCCACATTTGCCCTGCGCTCTAGAATTTGGACTTCATTCCATGCAATGGGTACTCATTAAAAAGTTGTAAGAAAAGGTATGTGGTACTCAGGTCTGGGTTTTTGTGTGTATGTGTATTTTGTTTTGTTTTGTTTTAGAAAAGTCAGTCATGAATGCCCAAAAGCTTCTATTTTCAATAACTTCAGATCCACAAAACAGCTAAGTCACTTGATCAGTCCTGCAGCTTAGGAAATAGGAGAACCAGGACTCAACCCTGGCTTGAGTCTTCCACACTCTTAAATATGCACTCTCCCAAGAAGAGATAACAGTTAAAACAATCATAACAGCCCAGCCAGTGTGGCTCAGTGGTTGAGTGTCGACCTATGAATCAGGAAGTCATGGTTAGATTCCCAGTCAGGGAATATGCCAGGGTTGTGGGCTTGATCTCCAGTAGGGGGCCAGGAGGCAGCCAATCGATGATTCTCTCTCATCATTGATGTTTCACTCTCTCTCCTTTTTTGTCCTTTCCTCTCTCTGAAATAAATAAATATTTTAAAAAAATCATAACAGAAATCTAACTACTTTGTTAAACTGCCCAGGTATTCCATGGATATACAAAATAGCAAAATTCAAAAGCATTCCCTTCCCTTCAACACCTTTAATTTGTATTTGTATTATAGATAATATGTTCAGTGGTGCAATTACAACCAAGCATTTTTAGCAATCTATTATCAGTTCATAACTTCATTTGGAAGTGAGGCATATCGAAGTTTAAAATATACTCTATCAGTATAAAAAATAAGAAAATAGGGAGCCCTTAAAGATCATCATCCCTGATACTAAACATCAAAACTAGTAGGCAAAGGAGAAAGCACTTTAGAGAAGAGAAAAAAAGAGGTATTTAGAGTAATCTTTATAAGTAGGAAAGGGGTCTTTTATTGCATAGCTTCCATGTAAGAAAATAGCAAGAGCCGTAACCAGTTTGGCTCAGTGGATAGAGCGTCGGCCTGCAGACTGAAAGGTCCCAAGTTTGATTCCGGTCAAGGGCATGTACCTTGGTTGTGGGCACATCCCCAGTGAGGGATGTGCAGGAGGCAGCTGATCGATGTTTCTCATCGATGTTTCTAACTCTCTGTCCCTCTCCCTTCCTCTCTGTAAAAAATCAATAAAATATATTTTTTAAAAAATAGAGAAAATTATAAAACTCAAGAGCATTTGTGAACCAAGTGGCAGGCTTTTTGGACATGGTTCAATATCAAAGCACACATTATTATTTCTCCTTTTTTATCAAATGCCAATAAAATAAAAAAGAATTACTACCTATCATTCTCTCACATTCATAACTTTTTATAACATACTGACTAAAGTATGCAATAATAGCTCTTTAATTTTTATCCATATATCTATATATATAAAACCCTACTATGCAAATAGACCAAATGGCCGAGCAACCGAATAACCGAATAACCAGTTGCTATGACATGTGCTGACCACTAGGGTGCACTCATGGAACATGGTGGGCATCAGCAGCAGGAGGCAGAGCGTGGAACTTGGCGGGCATCGGCTATGGTGGGATGGTGGAGCAGGTGAGCGGGGGCACCAGACCAAGGCGGGGCGCCATTCGCTGTCATCAGGGCAAGCCTCTGCTAGTTCCTGACAATTCTTTGCTCCTGCACACCATGGTTCCGCCCGGCACTCACACCTGCTGCCGGTGCCTGGTGCCGACACCAATCACTCAGAGCTATCAGCGGGTGCAAGTGGCAGCTGCCGGATCCAACTGCCCTCAGGCTTCTCCACCTCCCCCTGCTCCTGAGGGGTAATCGGCGCCAGCAGCTGCCTCTCGTACCCGCTGCTGGTGACGTCCCCACCCGCACCCACTGTCAGTGCCAGAGCTGCCACTCACACCTGGTGCTGGCACCAGCCCCAATTGCTCCACGCTGTCAGCAGGTGTGAGCAGGGCCGGCGCCATCAGCATGTGGGAGCGGTAGCGGTAGGACCGAGGCTGCCAGCAGACAGGGAGCTGGAGCCCACAGCAGGAGGGGCCAGGCAGGGGTGCGAAGGATAGGCCAAGACCTGCCTCTGTGGCCACAGCAGCCTCATGGCCTACAGTTCCTTTCAAGGTGCACAAAGTCGTGCACTGGACCCCTAGTATCTTTAATACGAAAGAAAAAACTACAACAGCACAATCATCCAATAGAATTATTATGCTAGTCATTAATAGGGCAAAAATAAATATACTCTGCTCTCTGAAAACTGGAGAGATTGATGTGAACTAATCAAACAAATAGATCACAAATGTGATAAAAGCCATGAATACACATAACAGGAGCATTTAACCTACTGAGTGTTTTGAATGAGGAAAGCCTTTCTTTCAAGGAAGTGACCTTTAGATTGATATTTAGAAAATGTTTAAAAGTTAGGAGGGATTTAGGAGAGTGGCTGATGGGGGAAGGGATCGTGGAATTAAGGTGTGGTTCACAGGGTAGGACAATTATATTGGCAAAGTTTTATTAAGGTGATGGTGAGAACATAGGTGCTATGTATGTGTGTTCATAACATTCGTATTAAAAAAACTTTTTATGTTGAAAATTTCAAACACAAAATAAACAGAATATAATAAACCCATATGTATCCATTACCCAACTTTAGCAATCATCAACATCCTGCTATTCTTGTTTCATCTGAACCCTCCACTCCCTGCCACCCAACTTATTCTCATGTTTTAAGGTAAAATTTACATACACTGACATATACACTCCTTTACCATACTACTCTGACAAGTACACTCCTGTAACCTCTACACTTTTTCACTTCAGGAAATTCCCTTATGCCCCTTCCCAACTGAGCATGAGCACTTCCCATAACTAAAGAACTAGTCCACTGTTCAATATTCTTTTTACCACAGATTAGCTTTGCCTGTTCTAGGACTTAGTATAAATGGAATCAGAGCATACTGTGTCCAGCATCTTTCACTGGGTGAGTTTGTGAGAGCCACCCATGTCACTGGCATGCAAGTTTTTTCCTGTTTATTACTGAGTAGTATGCCACTGTATGAACATATGAAAACTTTTTAACTACTTATCCTATAGATTGATGTTTGGGTCGTTTCCAGTTGTTAGCTACTATGAATAAATCTGCTCTAAACATTATTTTAAAAGGCTTTTTGTAGACATGTTTTCATTTCTCTTAGGAAAATACCCAGGAGAAGAACTAGAACTGCTGGTTGCAAAGGTAGGTATAATGCTTAAATTTATAAGAAACTGCCAAATGGTTTTCCAAAGTGGCTCTACCATTTTATACTCACACCATAGATAAAGGGGGACTACTGTGTACTGCTTTCCACACATGCTGGAACTATCATCAAAGTACTTCTCATTACCTTGGTGAATGAAGTATCTCCTAAACCTCTTTGTGGATAATGGTGGGAATATGGAGAGGTGTGGATGGTCTCATTGAAAAATCCATTCCATCAGTCCTATTTCCCTTAATCTTTTGAGTTCTTCCTCTAACTATACCATGAGTGTGTAAGCCAGTGATGGCGAACCTATGACACGCATGTCAGAGGTGACACACGAACTCATTTTTTTGGTTGATTTTTCTTTGTTAAATGGCATTTAAATATATAAAATAAATATCAAAAATATAAATCTTTGTTTTACTATGGATGCTAAGATCAAAAAATTTCTATATGTGACATGGCACCAGAGTTAAGTTAGGGTTTTTCAAAATGCTGACATGCCGAGCTCAAAAGTTTCGCCATCACTGGTTAGGCATTTAACATCATTTAATATAGATCAATGCTGAAAGCAATCAAGGGAGCAAACAATACAACACACCCTAGCTGCTTGAGCAAGAATACTGAATACAGAATCTCTGGTAATTGCCCCATGCCAGTATACGGAGCCAAATGCAAAAAGCATGTTCCCTTCTCATCATCAGAACCCATTTCTCTACATATTCCTAAGGTTATTACTAAGATGTTAGCAAAAACCTTTTAATGCTGATAGATAATGCTTTTCTTCCTTTTTTGCCTATGCAAAGGCAAAGCATGTTACAATATGACTCCAGTTAGAGTTCTGTAAAGAACAAGGATTATTGAAGGGGGTAGGAGGAAGCTAGCTTCCTTTGAATGGTAACTGTCATAAGCAAGATTGTTATAGGTCTTCAAAGAAGACAACGAAAGACAACTTCTGTCAGCAAGAAACTTCATAGAGTTTGGAGACCTGTAATATGTTTCCATAATGCCCTATATAAAGTAAATTTTTTTAAAAGGTTATTAGCAGCAATAAATATGGCCTATGTCCAATAAGGGGCATCTATTACATTGCTTTCCATCTCAAATTTTCTTAAAATTAAGCAATATAAGATTTTTCTATTATGTATTTAGTATGAACTGTCACAAAGATGAGGCAGCATTATGGTATTCAAATGCAAGAGCAATTAAATTTGAGCCTCTAGAGGGCAGCATTTCTCATTGGATAGACAGGTGAAATGCAGGATAAGAAGTTTCTTTCTGTAAGATGCCTCAGTCCTTAATATATCATTGTGCATTGTGAATCTTTAATAGGTCATTATTATGTATACAATGTTCCTTCAAACTTACTTAACCACAGAGCCTTTTATTCAAGAATCATCTCTAATGACTACTATAGAATGCATTTTGGAAACAATCTAGTGGGCAAAATTTTCTCAAGTTGTACTTCCGTCTTCATGGACTTACTCCTCTAATTTTTAAAACAGGTCTTGAGACATCTCCCTGTACTCACAGATCATGACTAGGAATGAACAAAATCTGGTAAGAGCATTCATCTATTTTATGGAAATCAGAAACATGCAGAACTTATTGCTTGGCTTGCTCAAAAGACAATAGTAGATACAGGGGTTGGCAAAAGTAGGTTTACATTTGTATAGAAAAACTGATCTTGTCACAGTATCAAACAACTGTAAACCTACTTTTTCCACCCCTGTAAATAAAAGAAAAAAGTTTGGTGCTCTAAATAGTTGAGATATGGACTCTCACAACTTAAAAAACCAAAGGAGTTTAAGTATATTTAATAAAACATTTTCCTATTGATCCAAATATTAAATATTTGAACACCATTAACAATCTTTCCACAATTCATGTCAACTGAAAGTCCATTTCTAATCTAAAGGACTGTTGTAAACCTGATAAGAGCTCTACAGATCTCTATAGATAAAACATTCTTAATTTTACTTGTGAGAAGGGATTTAAACAAAATTACACACACCTTTTTTTTTTTGGTCTTTCACCAACATGATAAAAAGTTTTTAGAATGTAAACATTTTTCCACTCTTCAAGTATTCTAATAACAGGGGTGGGGGCGGGGAATCAAGCCACAGTTTCAAATAAAATGTGTGTGGCCAAATGCTTTTCTAATTACCAAATATCATTTTACCCATAAACAACATGTCAAACATTTCCTATTTATTTATTTATTTATTTATTTATTTGTTATTCATTTCCTTGTTAATGCTTCAGGACTATAAGGCATGCTACAAAGAAAATAAGCAGCTTTTTCCAGGGTTCTTGATTCAAGTCTTCTTGGGACTCTGCCTGTGAAATTAGCATTAACAAAAAATATTATAATCCCTAGTCCCCAGTCTCCAAAATACTTTAAGAAAATATATAACCAACTCTCAAAGTTTTAATTTCCAGTCCTGGAAGTACAGTATACTAGTGTAACCAACCAATACATTAGCCATTAGCTGCATGTGAACCCTTGAAATGTGACCAGTGTTAATAAGGAATTGAATTTTTATTTAATTATAATTAATTTTATCTAAATATAAAAACTGAAGCAGTGTAAAATGGCCTTCTGCTAAAGATAATTTTATTGTTTTGGTGAGTCTACATTTCATTGTAACCACTGCACTGCACACTAAACTGTACATGTAGAAATATAGTGACTCATTTCTAGTATTACACAGAAATAAAACTGATCTAGTCAGTATCAATTAACTATTCGGCTGAAATTTTTTTTCTACACACTAATGCAATAGCAGTGCAATATATTTACTTAATTTTTTTGGCAAATAAGTTGCAGTGATGCCTATGTAAATTAAAATTGGTAACTAAATAGAGATACTTTTTCACTTTAATTTTAGTTGCTTTTTAAATTTTAATATTTTGAATATAATTAAGTTACTTTCTTTTTAACTCTAAAAACAAATGGACAAAGGAAGTGGTAGACAAATTTTTAAAATTAAAATAAAGGTATTCTATCTATGCAGCATCAAGTGGAGATTTGGAAACTACTAGCACTATGACCAGAACAGTGAAGTGAGATTGAAAGATATTTTACTATTAATGACAATTACAATTAGCTGTGGCAGAGCAAAATACAAAAGATGTTTCTTACGTAAAAAGTTTTTTCATTATAAAGGATAGAATTGTGCAAACTGGCTATAAAAATGACATAAAACAGTTGATAAAATTTAGAGTTGCTTTTCAACTTATACAATGTCCTTTGGAATTTGATGTTAATAAATAAATTTGCTTAATTTGAGTAGCGTAGTTTTGAAATTAACAAACTTTTACTTCAGAGTCTAATACATTCTACTAAAAAAGCATGAATTAGTTTTATCCATTTGGGTGCAAATATTGAAAGAAAGTTATTTTTGGTATTTAATTCGAATATTAAAAATCATAAGAATGTTGGAAACAACTTAGGTATGTGAATCTATATTTCCAACCATAAACTATGAAATCTAAATGAAGATCAAGTATTTCTGATGAAAATTTAGTGACCAAATTGAGATGTAAAATACCAGGTTTCCAAGAATTAGTACCCCAAAAAAAGTAAAATATCTCAATTATTTTTATATTGATTATCAGTTAGAATGATATGTTTTGGATAGATCAGGTTAAGTAAAATATATTCAAATTAATTTAACCATGTTTTGCTATTTTAATGAAGCTACTGGAAATTTTTTAATTAATACAGTATGTGGCTCAAATTACATTTCTGTCACACAGTGCTATTCTGGACAAGATTAAGGATGAACATAATTAAGTTTATCCTTATGAGCAGAGCACATTCTTTAGAACACTGTTATCAACTACTAAAATATCACCTTGAAAGTTCACATTATGATTGCCCATCACATTACATGCACAACACACAGGGAATGCGCCTCAGCAGCAGAATATAAATTTGCCCAAGGAAGATTCAATGATATACTACATTTTGCAGCATTTGTGCTACAATACCTTAGTCTTAAAAAAAAAAAAAAACTAAAACAGGATGAAACCATCCTCTAGGAAACTACTTGTAGAATATTATCAGCCGGAAATTATCTATATATATAAAAGCCCAGCGACAGGAATGGCAGGACGACCAGAATGACCGGTGGCTATGATGTGCACTGTGGCAGCCAACCAGCTGACCCAGGCCCTGATTGCTACCCGCCCCCCTGACGCCAGCCTGGCCCCCAAATGGCCTGCAACACCCCAATCGGGGGCAGGGCAGCTGGCCAACCGCCTGCAGTCCCCCCCCCCAAAAGGCCCCGCCCGATGGGCCCCCAGTGGGGTGAGTTGGCCGGACCCCACCCATGCATGAATTCATGCACCGGGCCTCTAGTATAAAGATAAGGAGAGTGGTAAAATAGGGTGCTTATTAAGAGTAAAGATGCAAACCACATGAAAATAAAAGAAATAGTGATACTATAATAGCTAAACACTCCAATTTTTTGGTAACAGGAATAGCCATCTCATTTCCTATACTTAATTCCTAAGGACATCATAATGTTGGACTCACACAAAAACGAGAATGGCAAAGCAAAACTATAGCACTTTTTCTTAAGTTAGTGAACTGCAATTTTTCAGAAAACAGAAACAAGTCTCATGCATCCTCACGCTTTCCACAGAAGCCAAGAGAGTATCCATCACGTGATACTAAATTTATTTCTTTAGAATTTACTAAGTGCAGTATGTTTAAAGCTTAAAGTGACTTATAATTTTGGTTTTATTAAGACCAAAGAGTAAAAATAGCACTTAAAGTGCCTAAAGAGTTTTTTTAAGTAAATAAATGCATGAGAAATATATATTCTAAACACCATGATACATAAGGATAGACATATACACCAGTGGAACAGTACTGAAAGTCCAGACATTACACCATACATCTATAGCCAATTAGGCACCAAGTCCAATGAACAAAAAATCGTTTTCAACAAAGTGCTGGGACAACTGCATTTTCACATACAAAGGGAGGAATAAACACCATATACAAAAGTAAACTCAAACTAGACCAATGAACTAAATACAAGCTAAAATCACAAGCTTCTTCCAGAGAAACACAGGGGTAAATCTTCATGATCTTAGATTGCCATGACCATGGCAATGGTTTTACAGATGATACCAAAGTATGAGCAGTCAAAGAAAAAATAGGTAAATTGGACTTTATCAAAATTAAAAACATTTGTACATAAAGAGACATTACCAAGAAATTAAGACAACCTACCAAATGGATGAAAATATTTATAAACCATATATCTGATAAGGGATGAATATTCAGAATATAGAAGAAATTCCTACCATATAAGAACAAAAAGACAAACCCAGTTTAAAAATAGGCAAAGGACTGGATAGACATTTCTCCAAAGAAAATATATAAATGGTCAATAAGCACATACAAAAAATGCCTAACATCATTAGTTATTAGAAAAACATAAAGCTTCCTAAAGTACTAATGCAGAAAAAAAGTCTGGAAATCTATTATTTCTCTCCAAAAAGAAGTTGGCATGAGTCCTCTTCCCTTTTGCTCATAAAGTGCAATCTACATATAAAAAAACCCTAATATGAAAATAGACCAAAAGGCGGAACAACCAAACAGCCGGTCACTATGATGTGCATTGACCACCAGGGGGCGTGCACAGAACATGGCAGGCAGGCATTGGGCGTGGAGGGATGGTGGAGCAGGTGAGCAGGGGCACCAGATCAAGGTAGGGCGCCAGTCACTGTCATCGGGGTGAGCCTCTGGTGGTTACTTAAAATTCTTTGCTCCGGTGCGCCGCAGTCCCGCCGGGTGCTTGCACCTGCTGTCGGCCGCTTGTACTCGCTGCCAGCGCCGGAGCCACTGCTCACACCCGCTGCCAGCGCCCAGTGCTGGTCCTGATAGCTTGGCGCCATCAATGGGTACAATCGACAGCTGCCGGCCCCAATTGCCCCTGATGGCTTCTCCATCTCCCCCTGCTCTTGAGGGGCGATCGGGGCCGGGGCGCCAGTCACTGTCATCGGGGTGGTGCTGGCCCTGCTCTCACCCACTGCTGGCGCTGGTCCCAATCGTTCCACGCTGTCAGTGGGTGGGAGCAGCAGCAGTGGGAGCAGGATTGCCGGCAGAGAGGGAACCGACGGCCACGGTGGGAGGGGCAAGGTGGGGGCACAGAAGGTGACTCAAGACCCGCCCCTGTGCCCACTGCGGCCTTGTGGCCCACAGTTCCTTTCAAGATGCATGAATCTGTGTACTGGGCCCCTAGTATGAATATAACAGAAAGGACGGGAGCTTATTTAAAATCAGAAAAATCTGGATTAGCATCCTGATCCCTGCACTGGTGGCATGATCATGGGCAATTACTCAAATTTTCTGGTCCTCCACTTTTTTTTATCTATAAACAAAGTCCAAAATATCCATAGCTTCATTTTTCCTGTTTATATTTCCTTATTTCTTTTTTTATGTCTACCAGTATAGGTAATCAAATTTCAAGTAGATACAGCTTTTGACCCAGTAATTTCACTTTGGAGAAAGTATCATTCAGAAAATAAATAAGAAAGTTCTCAATGTACCATTATTATGAAAATATCAAGATATATTGTGAAATAAAAAAAATCTGTATACTATGTTCTCTTTTTTATAAAATGGAAGAGAATACCACTAAACATTTCTGTGAGGGTGTGAGGGTGTGTGAGTATGCATGCACACATAAAAACATTCTGGAAATATTTTTAAGTACTCTATATGTTAAAATATTTCACCTTTATTATTTCAGACATGTTAAAAGGAGAAAAGGACTGACTCTACCTGGATAATAAGAAAAATAAAACTGAAGCCCCAGAATAAACAAACTGCTAATAGTGTTAACCAGAAAATGAATGATATGAATGAGTTACATGTATCAAATGTTGATTCAAATGAGGTGTTTTTTCATATTATATGAAAATGAATAGATCTGTTTGACACAATGAATAAATCCAGAAAAAACAATCCTCTTTGTTCTACTTAGTGTTTCTCAGTACTCTGTTCTAATACTTGCCTTTCTAAGTCTCCCGAATATGTACATATACATATACAATATTTATACACATTCATTCATTCCTTGGTTTGTCAATGTAGATCTTCATTCTTAAAATTTTAGATCATTTTAAAATGAATTGAATTGACATATGTATCTATATTGTCTACATAATCTATCATTCATATGT